AGGAGAGCTCCCAACAGTCGTCTTCCGGGCCTTGGGGTCCGGCTGTTGGGAAGATGAAGCTCTTGGAGCACCCGTCTAAAACAGAAGAAAAAAGTCAGTGTATGCATAAACACTCCAAAAAGAGGGTGAAAGGTTCGGAGCTCACCAAGGGTGCCCCCTTTTTGGGGGAGTCGGTTGAAGTTTGTTGCATAATAGAGGCCCGCAACATGGCCGCCGCAGTCTTGGAGGCGGTGATTTTTCTCATGGCGTCAGCTGCAAAAACAAACGGCAAAGTTAATAAAAGATAAACAGCAAATGTATGAAACAACAGAGTATTCGACAGGCCGACTACCTCTTGAGCACCGACTGCTGAGGCCACAGGCGGCCAAAAAGTACTCGTCATAGAGCCACTTGAAGCTCGGGACGCAGTGCAGGGGTACTTGCTCTCGTACCCCTGAAGTAGAGTCGACCCTCGACTCTACTTTAAAGAGTCCTTTGTCAAGGATCTCTTTCTTAGCCTTGGGGGGAACAGGCGGCATGCTACGGCCGCTTGCAAGAAGGGGCGGATTCCTGTTCCACCTATTGAAGCGCTTGTTCAGCTCAATGTCTGAACTCTCAATGATGACGAAGGTACTCCGCCAGTCCTTCCACTTGTTTGCTTTACCTCTCGTCATGAGGTAGCCCCTGTGGCTCGTTAATTGATACCAGCCGGTACCGCCTGTCTTAGGGGTCCGGCTGAGATAGTTCATATGGGCGAAAGCCTCGAAGCTCGGCTCCACCCCGTGCAGTTCGCACCCGGCCACATAGCCGAGTACGTTGACCCGGGAGTTTGGGGCTAACTGCCATAACCCCAACTCATACCCATCCAAAATCCGCTGAACAGCCGGATGTAATGGGAAGCGCAGCCCTGCCTTGATGGCCGCCTCGTAGCAGCCAAAGCAGGCGCTATCATAACTGGAACCAGTCGGCCAGACGACTGTGTCTTCTGGATCCGGCACAAACACTAGAAAGTCGGGGCCCATGGTGTGGTTTGCAATAAAGCTCTCCACTTTCTCTTGCATGGCTGTAATTCGGCCCCGAGGTACCGTGCAGTAGTATTTAGCTCTCGGTAAGAGGCGGATGGTTCCGCCCAATTGTCCCCCTTCTCAACTGTGTGAGAAAGTCTCGCCTCTTGCAGGCGGCTGTTTTTCTCTTCTGTACCCAAAGAAGCATGGCCAGAAGAGCTTGACGAGGAATCGTCCTCGGACGAGTCTGAAGAGGACGACTCCTCCCCTCTCCCGGAGGGGCCCGCCTCCTCTCTTTGAAAAGGAGCAGATTTGTTAACTGTTAAATTGGAAGGGGTCACTATGACTCCCCCCACAGAATTGCCGGCATCCAGGCCGCCTTGTCTCACTTCAACATCTGGCGCCTGGTCAGATGTTTCACTAATCGGCACCCTGTGGGAGGAGCCGTCTGAATTTGAGATCCTAGCTGTCTTTTTCGTTCTGGCCATCCTGCTCTACATAGACATAGATACAGTAGGACTTTGTATAAAGGGCAAAGATGGGTCCGGAAAAGGGCAGGCGGCACTCCTAGTCCTAGATTCAGCCGTCCCCGGTGACCGGCTGATCACTAACCTAGGTCGTGTCGTGTGCTTCCGTGGTGCCATTTCAGAAAATAAAAAGAAAATTAAGAGTAAGAGAACTGAGTTACCTGAACGAGTGACGGTTGATGAAGTTCTGGAAATCCGGTGCAGTCGGCTTGTCAGAACAGGCGGTAGGCAGAAAAAGTCCAAAATGTCAGAGCAAGTTCAGGGGTCCGAATGTTCTCAAATAGTTCTCAAAGTGTGAAAATGACTCGAGACAACTCTCCCTTATATAGGCGAAGTGAGAAGGCGAAGGGTCACTTTCAGAATTCAAAATTTGGGCGGGAAAATCTCTCGTCCTTTCGCCGACTAACACCTGTAGCAGGTCGTCGCCCGTTACTGTGCGACACCTGTCACAGGTAACACGTGACCAGTCACGTGCCACCTGTGAGGGGCAAATGATTAGGGGATTTTTGCTCCCACCAATCGGAATGCGCCACGTGGGCCAATCAGGACCTGCCAAGTGTCCCCTAGTTGGAACTGTCAGGGCTTGCCACGTGGCACGCGCTTATTCGTCCACCTTGGACCTGTTATGTCACGACATGTGGCATACTCCATGCCTAATGGAGAAACCGGCCACCCAGGCCCAACTTCCGAGGGAAGCCCAATCGGCCCTAGGTTTACCTAAACCTAGGATGGGCACGTTTCCCAAGGTTATAAATACCTCCCTTAATCCTCATTAAGGGGGAGAGCAAAAAACATTACGGAACACACTAATAACCGGCTGATCTCGCTAACAAAGCAGATTACCTACATTAAACACTCTCACCTAGAGAGACCTTATTACTTTTAATTTCCGCATTGATTACTCCTTAATCAGGTACTAACTTGACCGTTGGAGGCGGAGCTCACAGGAGTCTCCGTTATTTTGCAGGTACAGGCGTCCGGTTCCAGTCTCGGAATTGTAACTCTCCCGCAGGACATCAGAAAACCCTGAAACAATATCCACGCTTTTTGAGAATTTTTGGAGTCTTCGAGAACTGGTGTCGAAAAGTCTTAAAATTCTAGGGAATACATCTCATGGTCATATAATGTCGTTTGGAACTATTTATGATCATTATTTGTTGTCATAAATGTTCGTGGTAGGCTTGAATCAATGAAATTGATGTAAATGGTAAACCGGTAATTGGTCGTTTAAAGGCAAATTGGATGGTTCCACCCACCCAATTGGACTCACGGAGGGTATTTGGGACCATGGTAAACAATTCGGAAATTTTTTCATCCGGGCCAAAAAAAGTAAAAAAAAAATCTAACATTGAAGGCTAATATCCACGTTTTTTGAGAAATTTCGAATGTTTCGAGGCCCGGTGTTGAAAAACATTGAGATTTTAGAGGATACATCTCGGGTCATATCATGCCGTTTGGATCCATACATGATCATTATATATTGTCATAAATGCTCGTGGTAAGCTTTAGTTAATGAAATCGGTGCAAGTTGTAAACTGGTAAATTTGTCGCTTAAAGGCAAATTGGATGGTTCCACCCACCTAGTTGGACTCCCGGAGGGTATAGGGACCATGGTAAACATTCTGGCAATTTTTATTTTCGGGTGAAAAAAAAGTCAAAAAAATCCAAAATTGAAGTAATATCCACGCTTGTTGAGAAATTTCGAAGGTTTTTTGTAGAGCTATCAATTCGGGTAAACGGATTGAGTTTGGGTCGGTAAGATTGGGTCAGGTTAACTCGGGTCTGTAAGAGTGTGTCAGATCAACTCGGGTCTATAAGAGTGGGTCGGGTCAACTCGGGTCGGTTCAATTCAGATTAATTCCATAACCTATGCGGGTTGGGTTTGGGTTTGGTCATGCTTGAGTCGGGTCATACTTCTTATCGGGTTTAGGTCGGGTTAATAACAGGTTGGGTTACATTCGGGTCGGGTGAACAAATAGGTCGAGTTTAATTCAGGTTTTCACAGGTTAAAACGGGTTAGGGTAATTCTCAGGTTTGAGTCGGGTTTAGTTCAAGTCAATAATTTGCGGATTATAATCAGGTCGGGTCATTTTCAAGTCGGGTCATTCTCGGGTTCAAGTCGGGTTCGGTTCAAGTCAATAATTTGCTGGTTATAATTAGGTTGGGTCATTGCCAAGTCGGGTCATTCTCGGAGTCCCGTTGGGTTACGTTCAAGTCAATAATTTGTAGGTTACAATTAGGCTGGGTCATTTCCAAATCAGGTCATATTCGGGTTTCAACTAACTATAAGTAAATAATTATCATTTTTATCAAGCTAATTATTTCCTTTGACTATAATATATTAATATATATGTCAATATACTAGAAAACTATAATTTATAATTTAGGAATATAATTATCTCCTTTGACCATACAACAAATATATACTATATTTAACTCTTAAATTTGAGGATGATGCTCCTTTCTTTTGTTGGCTTGGACCGACATGGTCTCCCTAGACAAAATGCTTTGATCAACGATAATAAGGTGGTCTAAATTTCATTAAAGGTGATTTGAAATTGGGTCAGGGACAATTTGGGTTGAATTAAGGCCGGGTCAATAACAAGTCGTGTTGATTTCGAGTCGGGTTAGTAATAGGTTTGGTAAAAATTCGAGTCGGGTCAATAACAAGTCGGGTTGATTTCGGGTCGGGTTTGTAACAGGTTGGGTTAAATTTGGGTCTGGTTAGGAATGGGTCGGTTTGAATACAGGTCAGGTTAGGAACAAGTTGGGTTAAATTCGGGTTTTGACGGGTTAAAACGGGTTTGGGTCAAATTCGATTCAAGTCGGGTTCGGTTCAGGTCAATAATTTACGAGTTACATTCAGGTTGGGTCATCTCCAGGTCAGTTCATGTTCGGGTTCGGGTCTCACATACTCGGTTCAACTCTGGTCTAGAGTTGGTTTGAGGTTAGGTTAGGTCAAGTTTGGGTCACCATTTTTTCGGGTTCAGATGGGTCGGTTAATAATCGGGTTTGAGTCGGTATTTCGAGCCGGGTCAACTTTTTACGACTCTAATTTTAAGTGATGCCAGCTACTTTTAGTTAAAGTGTTATGCGCTAAAGCCTAAAACCCATGTTTTGATAACAAATCCCGTTTATATCACAGCTCTTTGTAGCTCTTTCCAGCAATTATATACTCTGTATTGCTTGTAGTCACTAGTCAGTAAAGTACTGGGTGAATGAATATTCAAAATAAATAATGGAAAATCTACAACTTTGTATATCTGGAAGGCAAAATCGGCCACGTAATGAAGTGCCTCAATAAAACATTGTACAAATAAATCTCATCTTCTTAGCTGTGTGAAGCTGTAGGAAAAAGAAACGAATACAAATTTTAAGTCCTCAACTTAAACTACAAGGCAAGAAATACAGTTTTCAACTTAGCGTATTACTCTGTCCACTATAGCTAATTAGCTACCTCTACCACGAGTTAGATTGCTATTGTTTAGGTATAGAAGCAGTGTAGTACAGACCCCTCCAAAATGATTTTCACATTCAGTTTATACATTAATGAATGGCAACTATAAGGCAACCCAACTTTCTGTGTTCGCCTGTATAGCCTCTTTGCCTGGATTCGATAGAACTGGATGAGGACAATCACGCTAAGCAACTCATGTTGTGAAAGTTTAAAGCGGCTTTGGATGTCTTGCCGTATACCAGAAGGTTTCATCCAACAAGGTACACCATACACCAAATAAGCTTAGACAGTTACTCTCCACATACCCGTCCTATAACCTACGGACATGAGCACAAGTTCCCAAAGCATGTTGGGTATGCTCAACATGTTCACCTTTGATCCTGGAATCTCAGACCAAGTGACAGATATCTCAACCATTGGAATGCCAAACCACTTGCACAAGTAGACAAGCTCTACATCAAAACACCACCTGTAGAACAGGCAAACGGTGAAGACGATTGATAACATTTTTAAGCATGTACTACGTATAATGGCTGGTATCAATTTAAAAAGAGCATGGTTCGCAACCATTGTGCTAGTGCCTAGTATGGATAGAACATAATAAACAAAGGCCAGATTCAAAGACACCAACTCCTGGGATGAATATACATAAATCAATAAACAATTCTTTCAACTCCTATTAATTGCAACCAATTATAGTACAAACTAATCTGAAGGAAGTGAGAAATACTTGTTTCACGGGCAAATACAATTAAAATCTCTCTAATTTTATCCCTTTTTCTCACTTATGTTTAGCACCTGTAAGAAACTAAGAGTTTTTTGAAAATGCATAGTTGCATACCAAGATCATTACCATCTTGCTTTCTTGAAAGAACACTAGTAAGCAGTTACAAAGGAAAAGCCAGAACTCCAAGAAATAGACTACTCAATAAACAACACAAATATGGCATATAAGTACTGAAATTCTTGAGGGAGGGTTTTTCACAGAATTTTCACAAATACGAACCAAAAACATAACATATAATGATATGATTAATACAGCATGGCACATATAAACTTCGTCACATACACATTTTAATTTAAGGTGATACATCTAACACAGCATAAAAAGTTTATAATTACCTTTTTAACCTAACATTTCTGAAAAGTTTCTGTGCAGCAGCCCTGGTGAACATCTTGAAACCACACTGCAGGCATGCAAAACCCATGGTAAGATAAATGCATTTTCAGGTGTACTTCATACAACTTCTAGATCCAAGAAAAGAAAAATTAGTGATTTCAATGAGAATGAAGATCCAACATAAAGGCATATCAAAGAATAATACCTGCGTATCACGGATACCAGGACCAGAAGCCAAAAGAACAACAAGATGGAATCCTTTCATCAAAAAGTTACGATACCATTTTCTCTGAATAAGAGAAAAACCATATATATTAGCATTAGTTCTGCAGTTAGAACCGCAAATAAAAAGGCAAAGCTGAGGAGCTTTACCGTAGCAAGAGCCTTATCCTCAAGATGAGCACGTGAACCAAACGCAGCAAACAGGAACATCACATACTCTAAAACTCGAATCACCACCACCAGAAGCATTTACATCTATCTCCTTTCCAGCAACTGTAAGAATCTAATGGCCAATACACTGTATGAACAAGCATGCATCTATGATCTATATACTCCAAGATAGTTTAGACCCATTTTTTTTCTCCATCATTCTCTGTATATAGTGACTTCAAGAATGAGGTAAATAGTGCCAACCTGAGTTTCAAGTTTCTCCAAGTCTTTTGACTTTAGTAGCTCCATCTGCATCCAGCATAAGAAGTAATTCACCACGAGAATGAAGCATTCCCTGTTCAAATAAGCAAAGAATATCAATCAGTTTATTATCTGATTGTCATCCAAGCAACAGAGTTCCCCCAGAAACATTCAAATATATTTTCAAGAAGTTGCTCACTAGACTGAGTTAACTCACTTTTCTAATAGCTTCCCCCTTCCCATAGTTTCTTCCAAGAAGAAGAACCCTAACATTTTCCACCTTGTACTTTCTGACAAAGTCAAATGCCACTCTTTTGGTCCCGTCAACACTTCCATCATCCACTAATATCACCTAACAAACCATATGATTTGAAATCGTTAATCACCACATAATATGATTTTACTTCAGTGTCAGAGTGTCTAGCACAAAGTTGCTGCTGACATCTGCTTGTGTAAAATTTTGAAGAAAAACAGACCCTTGCAGTTCTCAAGTATGTTTTAACAAATAGAGGAGTTAAACAAACCAGAGTGTAAATGAGCCCTTTTTTTATTTTTATTTTGAGAAAGAGTAAATGATACTTAGAAACCCAAGCAAAATTCCTAACTTATAGCAACAAAGATAAAGCTAAGGATCCTAACATCAAAATCCATGTTATTTGTGAATGCCTATGCTACATATACGAAGAGGTCAACTAATACAAATATTACAATGCATCAGAAAGTAATCAATTAATAAAGCACACTACTAGCTTAAATCTCTTTAGTGAATTATTTACATCAGGTCATAAGTCATTAGCGGTAGAAACTTAAATTATCTCAAATTTATTATCTATTATAAAAGCTGAAAGAGCCAGTGTATCCAGCTATTTTCTTCAAAACAGGAATTTCTCAAAAATAAGTTTGAATTATTTTTGCAATATCTATAATCCCTGCATAAACCTTGATCATTCTTTTGCATACTACACATGCTGCAAATAATGGAACTAAACAGCATTATGGTATGCACATCTGTTCCTAATACTACGTATACAAAGTTGAATTATAAACAAACCCTAAAAGTGAAGCATGATATACCCATGTAATACAATGCACTGTATATTCAAATCTAGTACAGTTTATGTTATACCTCATAAGTGAACGACTTATCTTGCTCTCCTCGCTGTTGCAAATAGCTGAAAATAAGACAATATATGAATATCATTAATTAGGTCCCTCCCTGTTGTTGCAAATCTCCCTGTTGTTGCAAATCTCGCTGTTGCAAATCTCTAACAATAAGACAATATATGAATATCATTAATTCAGTCCTCTCTTACTTCCATCAATTTTCCACCTTGGTTCAAGGCGTCAAGACATGATCATACCACCCACTAATTGTTCATACATTAAAATAGAGTGAACCATATTATGTAAACAAATTATGAATTTTTGATACCTAACAAGAACACATTCTTTTGAATTCTGAAGCTTTAAAATTCAAATGATAAAACCTGCATATAAGGTAACTTGTCATCAATCTATACATAATTACAGCATCAGGAATGATAGATAAGAATAGTTACTATCTCTTTTTTTTTCTTTTTGAGGGGGGGAAGACAAGTTTTCCAAAACATAGTATGTAAGATATATCGAATTCAGGGCCTTATGTTGTATTAAAAGCACTAACAAAAGAGGAAACAGATAGACAAACAGAGAATATTGAAGGATCTTATTTTGCCATTATACTCTACTACTCTAGACAAACTTACTTAATAGTTTCCTCAAGTGCACTTGGAAGTCTGTGCTCCTCGTTGAATGCAGGAATTATCAAAGATATATACTTCTCAGCGGGATCAAATATAGAAGGGCATGGAACCTGAGAAAATAGTTTCCTACTGAAGTCAATAATTCTGATAGCAAGAAATCTCAAGCAAATATTTATGCTTAGGTTAAGTTGAATATGTGGCAGCGCTCAAAATCAAACAAATCAGCAATGACGAAAAAGGAGTGAATCCAAATGCGTTTCCAACATTTCTTTAACACTCCATATACATTTAAACATGCCAAGTGGTAGCCAATAATTGTCCTCTTGGCACATAATGGTGTGCCAGTGTAAGTTTAGCAACAGAAGGTTTGATGCGCCTAAGAATTATACGAGTAACATATTCCAATCACACCTTTCGATCAGTTAAACATATGTAAGGTCCTTAATTCTTCCAACACAAAGGTAAATTTGTGAATTTTTATACCACAATCCACTCATCAAACAATGCAGCATCACTCGCTAAGTAATAGGTATTCTTAAGCACATTTGAAACAACTTCAATCACAAATTTATACCCTATGGAAATGGTACAGCAAAGGAAGATTTCAGTAATCACCATTAATTTCTGAATTATCTTAATTTCCTTTCTATTTAACAGGTCTAACACAAAAACAATAAAACCAGAAAATTCAGGAAAATCAACATAAAATTCACAAAACAAAAATTACAAAACAATAGAAACCCTAAAATCAATCAATTTTCCAAAATCCAGTATCAATTGATCTAAACTCGGAAATACAACACATTAAGTGAAATATAAGTTAAAATTGATCGAAATTTTCACCTTATTAAGTGAATTTGGATCTTCGAATATTGCTTCACCTTCAACATGACTACAAAAAAAAA